AATATCAAGTTTAATTCTTAATACCGCAAGTAAGACAGTTATGTGACTCAGATCATATTAACTCGTAATAGGGTGAGTAAACCGGAACGTCTATACTTTCTCGTCGAATCTTATTTACGAGACTTAAGGGATATCAATCTTTTCGACGGGCACTTCACGGTACATTAAATGTAAGTCATTGAAGAGAAGCAGGAGAGTACGTCTCTACGTTTCGCTGTTTTTAAAAATGGAGAGAAAGAAAACGATCGACCTCAAATTTGGAAGAATTGATTTTATACATTCGGCCCACCAAATTATTCGACGTACATTGCATGAACTAAATTTTACCGCTTACGTGTTATGAATACGCTTTTCTATGGCATCTTTAATATCGGTTAGGGAACATTACCATCTCTTATTTAAGTGATACATTTGAGAGCGAGACTCACGGAACTCCAAAATGGGAGCAGATTTCTATGCATTCTGATCGGAGGTTGCAATGTTGTATCATACACCTACATCTAAGTAAGCACACCCACGCACTTGTGTACGCACATCTTACATGCTTCTGCGCCTTTGAGCCAACTTGCACATACATTTTCATACCATCAGCACTTTGAAGCCGAGCCTGGGTCTCAAGAGCACAAGAATTAGTAAAGCCCTCCAAACTGAAGTTTGCAGTTTCGCGAATTGGATTTTAGCCACAATCGGGAGGAAGGAAACAGGAATCGCGAAAGGTGCGCGGCAAGGTCCTCGGGAACAAGGATAAGTGCCAGAAAAAAAAAAAAAAAATTGATCCGACCTGGAGGGATCGATTTAGAATGCACTGACTAGGATATCCGAGAGCTGGTGAGACACGTGCCGTTTATCCACCGAGAGATTTGCATGCTCAAGGTAAAGCCATCCAGCATCCTGGTTGTCGCTACCGTTCCAGTCGAGATCAAGAGACTAACTATAGATATGACAGATATTCCTTAATAGACGCGACAAGTACCACTTTTCGACTAAGTGGTCGTAAGGTTCCTCCAGAATTTGCAGGAATTCCGTCGTCGTTACGCTCGAGTCTAATTAGAATGAGATTCTTTACTTGAAAATAACTAGATTAGGTGACGTCGATTCAGTCGCGCGAAACGACTACATCTCGGTTACAAAACTTGTTTTTTCTTTCTTTTTAATTTTTATTACTGCCATTAGATAGCGTAAGAATTTGTAAGGGGGAGGAGGCATGCACTGCTCGAATACTTTCGTGTGATTATAAGAATTAGTCATTTATCGTAAATTGATAGAAATTACGTTAATTACGTTATTATTCTGAATTATACGTTCAGGCCGTAAATTTGATATGATCATAATTTATTTGGGCGGTAGTGTTCTTTAACCACATCCGATGGCACGATGTGTATGTCGATCATTGACTGTAGTAAATATATCAATGACCGACATAGCACGTCGTCTGATTTTGCAATTTGAAAGTAGCTTTACCAAAAGCTGTGAATGCGTAAGGACGTTTCGAGTGATTTCAAGTACCGGTTTAGTGTAAATTGATTTCAACATATTACGCATACCTGCTGACAAGTTGTCAGTACCTGCAATTTTCTTATTGCTGTCTAAACTTGATCCTGTCAATATTCGTAAAAAATAACCATTGCTTAATTGTACATGAACATATTAATTAAAACAATGATTATGTACGTTTGCAATCTTTTAATTAAAATGTCTGTGTTTTAATATCTGAATTAAGTCGCAAATGTCCTATGTTGGTTTTTTTAGTCTGGTCTATCATCATCCCGATGAAATGCAAGAACTTTCTGAACACAAAATCCTTACATTCACTGTACGGATAGCAGAAAAATTATTACAGGATAACGTAGAAACCCACCTTCGATAAGAAGGGTCGTACTACTTTTTGCACTTACAATACATGGCTAACGCAAAATTGGCAGTTCTTCATTTATACGTGCAATCTTTCCGTTCCATCTTAAGTCGAGGTACACAATATAATACCCATCAGCGAGGTTATGATGAATTTTTAAACATCAATCAGGTACCATTTTACTAACATATTGATGTGTTAATGTATACAAGATGGTATATTAATATTTCATTCTTATTACAGATGCCTGTTTGGAAACAGGTAAATTAACAGACTACCAAAAGCTAACTGCATAATTGAAGTTTTTTCGTTTGACCATCCGATCGAGAGAAGTAAGACAATTGTTGGTGTACGTAATGCATAATAATAAAGTAATAACTGACAGAGGTGCATGAATCGTATAGCTCATGCTATCGTTGTTACCTCCGGAACTTCTTGCATTCTTATCCAATAGACGTCTGACGTCTGATACCGTAGATTTACGATTGCTTTGTCGGTTTAAAAGAATGCTTACAATGTGGTTTTCCAGACATCACCGTCAATTACAACCGATACATCACTTATGTAGTATGCATTATGTACAGTCACCAGAGGGGCCTAATAAAAAAATTCTCATTATTTATTAGGGAAAATTAACTGTTAGGAAATACGAGAAAAATACCTACACGGTACTACTAATTCTCCTGTCATTATTATTTTGTATTAAATATGTCATACATGTGATTATAATACCACGACACTACTACCCTATCGAATCTTATGTCTTACTAAACTGTGCCAGAAAATTGCAACAACTGCACATAATTAATAGTGCAAATCGAAGACTAATATATTTTGTTTAGAACAATGAACAGATATAGTGATTTGATTCATGTTTAAAAAGCACTTGAATTTACTGAGATATGGGCCTAAACAATATATGTGGTCATAAGACATGAACAACTTTGATTTTTAGGCGTTACCGTTTCTTTTCTTTTTTTGGCGAACGGTGAATTATTTGAATACGTACTTAGTTAATACATAGATCTAATTAGTTTCAAACTCTTCCAAATGACGCAAAATTAAGTCTTGGAATATGTGAAGAATATACCAACTATATCGCAACCATTTTCATCAAGTTCTTTTCTTTTAAATACTTTGTACGCGTGCAATGTACACGGTACTTTGTACAGTACCACTGCCATACCGGATCTCGCGTCTTGGATAATTGTCCGAACGAATTTCTCAATGTTAATCTAGTGTGACTTTATAGAACTTTTGTCATGGAACAGTAACCTCTGGTTTAACGCACCCACTATCGTTCAGTCACAGGAGAATTCATTTTCTCTTAGATACAATGTAGCTTTTACATGTGTCGGTAAATAGATTCACTTACACTATGCACCGTTACCCACAGAATCAGACTCCGTGAACTATGTGAACATAATTGCACTGCGAGTGACTTTCAATCGGCTTAGCTTCATTTCTCGGGTTTATATCTAACGAACGGAATTATCAAATGACGCTTGTATGTCGAATACTTAGCGGGTTTGTCCAATGTATGTGAAATATACAATACATCAGCACTGCACCGTTAGCGCATTAGAATCGTGGTTATTAAGTTATGCGTATTTCGAGCAGACATCATCCTCTAACATCGCAGATGTCTCGTAAATATTCAATGAATGTTCCGAGAATGAGAATTCTGAGGACGTGCATAAAATCTCTCCCAGAATTCTTCAACGACTAAGATCCGTTCAGCAATTATATCAACAGCTAACGTAATGTTCTGCTGGCACAAAAAAATTCTCGTCACAAATTAAAAAAAAGGCACAACTCTTTACAAAGGAAATCAATAGACCCAATTGACGTCTGATCAGGAACTGGAATTAGAAAAAGTGCAAAGTTTTACTGTAATTAAAAAAATCATCTTTTCATTAGAAATAGAAAGTAAAAATGTTGAAGAAGGAAAAACAGCAGATCCAATTGAAACGATTTCAATGATACGAGAACATTTTGTATGATGTCCTGTTCAAGAATTACTTATCAATTGAATTTTAATTTTGAATATGTTAAAAGTGGAACTGAATTTATGGAATGCCATAGAAAGGAGGAAATGTCATTTTTTAATAGATTACTTTACTTGGCTATTTAATTACTTATTAACCTTGTCAACGAGTCGCATAAAACCTTCCACTTATAATTATGAAAAGTAATACGTATTTATATATCCGTCTTCACTATAAGATACGTACGTTCTTTTAATAGACATGTAATTATAAAAACACGTAAATCGTGCTCTTCGTGGTACCAGTATCACGATGTCATTCGAACGGTTGTTAAGAACTATGACAATAATATTTATCTCGCGGATGCACATAGAAGAAGTATTGGAAAATGATTTCATGCTGATTCGTTAATTATATGTTATGGGACTATAAATCAGAGAGCATTCCAATATAATTACTAACGGGAATATCGTAGGAGTGATGAACCAGGCGTGTCGCTATTTCTCAACTCAATTATCGATTAAGTAAATGCCAGGAAGTACCCTTCGTGTAATTATTAATTCAATTATTAATAAGAACGCATAGAAATTCGAGATTAAAAATACCAATCAGAGAAATAGTTACATGTCCGACATTTCTTACAATTCCTTCTCGTCACAGACATGCTTTTATCGTGATTATTTTACAAAAAAAGTATTGTAAATGACCGCAATCGTGTCAAAATTAATCCACCGTACCATTTGAGTAGAATAATATGACAGGCCGAAATATTTGGTGTAATTTTGTACAATAGAATCAATTCAACACCTTTGGCAGTCAAGAAGAGAAATCATCGTTGATAAAATTTAACATATCTGAGGTACCAAAAAAAAAACCACGAATGAATGACTCTTGCACGGTACAATTATGAAATTTGACGGGTTCTAAAACTATTATTGTTCCACCACAAAGACACGGAACATAAATTTGTAACTGCGCGTCTCGAGGTAGTAAGTCAAATAAAATCACTCAATCTTCAGATTTTAATATTTGCTAATGATGTAAATATATTCTTTAAACATTGCTCGTACCTAAGGTCATCCTATTACGTATCTGTAGATTTTGACGTCATTTCATTTTCAAATTTCAAAATTTATCCTATATATACAATTCCTACTCACGGTTAGTCAATTTTCTGGTGACCGAAAAGAAAAGGCGTAGCTCACAAAATTTAATAGGTGCAAGGATGAAGAAAAACTGCAATTAGGGGCACGTTTTCCCCCGCATTCCGCGCACCACACTAAACTGTCAAGACCGGGTGGAGGGTCCAGGAGGGTGATCCCTCCTTGACAGAGGGATGGAGAATAAAATGGAACCCGTAACCACGTCGAACCTATATTTATAAGAAAGTCACGAGCATTAGACCTTCCCCGGGATACACGAAGTAGAGGGGAGCAATGTTGTATACGGTTTTCCAATGGTGGGAGTCTCGATACTCTCGATCTTCGGCTTTCAAGGTCGTAGCTCCATGATTTTATCACTGCGGCGTGATATCAAGGCGTTGAGAGGCAGAAATGCACGTAAAGATCTATTTACAAGTGACTACTTTATTATATCGAAATATATTTCTAGAGCATCTTAGATTTTGTGGGTGTAGTTAGGCTGTCGAGAGTCGGTGAAGTCACCGAATGATGCTTTCGTTATCTCCATCGTAACAGCCTGATAAGGTTGAATGGTAACATCATCAATTTACGAAATCATCGTGAATATGTTTATTGAATTGGTTTCTGTTAATAATGGACAGATTTATTATAAAAGAGTAGAGTAAAGACTTAGAATTTCCTGTGCTAGGCGCGTGTGAAGAAACGCGAACCGATGGATCGCAGTGCGCTCATTCATATGTAGGCATTGCTCATGATTTCCAATTATATGACCCACTCTGTTTAAATTAGGTGGAAACAAACAGTGAGGGTGTTTCGAAGCCGATAATTGCAGTTAACGATGTTACAAGTGCTCATAAAACGAAGTACTGCTCTCATTCAGGAAGAACGTATCCTCATCCACTGGGGAAACTGCGATAATTCTCACCGTGAACATGAAACACGGTAATCGCGCGAAGAAAATGGACCTCTTTTGAATAAAAGGATCCAGGAACTTTAATGTCTAAGACCGACGTTGTAAACGATAAAATTTGTACAAGTCCGTACGTCTTCTTGGCATACTTTAGAAGACAATACGGAAGTTCTCAAATGAGTATCAATGCCTCGCCTTTCTTTTGCATCAACCTGGAAGAGCCATGGTAACAGTCGTAACACAATTGATGTGCACAATAATGTATAAAGATTGATACACAAGGTATAACTTACAAGACCGGATAATAGTGGTTAGTCATAGAACAGGCCTCGTTCACGTGTCATAAATGTATCTGCCAACGAGTTTATATCTATTCATAACCAATGCTTTTGGATGGTAATCATTTATTCAACTCTGTTTTTCATTCGGAGGGGGACACTATGAAAATGCAGACAATGACTTCAAATGCTAGTTAACAATGATGTTGAATTTTATGATGAGTGACTACTATTTCCCCCTTCCACTAGTAATCGAGAATCAGTTGTTGGGCGTGGTTTAGGCGATTTACAAGAAGTACATACGCGCATTTTGCGTGTACGCTGAAGTAAGATCATCTCTGTCATGGTCTACTTAACACGGAATGACACGTGCTCAGCTTAACTTTGATCAAGTATGGTTACGATTTGATTAACATTGCGATTCCTACAAGATTAATTTCTGATTCGCGGTGATGAGTAGATTTTTCAGAAGAAGAAACTGCACTAGTGCAAAATAAAACGGCAAGTGAGAAGTGTAAATATCCTAGAAATGTATAACCTGTATTAATAAAGAATGTATTATAAAAAATATATTTAAAAAATATGTTATAAATTATACACTGAAGAGAGAATATTTGTATTGAGGTGTAAGTTGCCGATAATTTTGCCCTTTTGTGTCAAGCTAAGAATATAGGTACTTTCTAAACAAAATTAATGACTTACGACAGTCCAAATTTTTGGCCTCCGGCGAAATTGATTTTATAGAAATCATTGAGAATTTTGTATCAAGTGGAAATGATTTTGCAGAAAAAGAATGTCAGGTTTTGGAAAAAAAAAAATGTATTAAACTCAAGCCAATTAATACTTGATATAAAAATCTATCAATACTATTCCAAGTTAATGCAGGATCATGCAATATCGGTAAGTAGTCGAGTTTTGAGTGAAAACATCAGATTCACTATAAATCTATCAAATTATACTTTAATATAAGAATATTATTAATTTTTCAAAAAGTCTTTCATTTTCGGAAGCGAGAAAACTACTTATTTCAAAACGTTTAGATATAAAATACGTAACGATATTGAATATAAAGAACTTGGGAAAACAAAGCTGAACATTGAATATCATTTCAAATTTATGTTGACCTCATTCGATCAACCCTGCAACCTATTTTGTTGATAATAACAAGTAAAAATCTTTTTACCACAAGAATTCCTTTTTTTTTAATAGAAGGTGGCTCAATGTGTATGAAGAGTACACTGATAAAAATCGATGGAAATTTACATACATTTTTACACACTTCATAACTTAAGTTTGACATAAAAAAAACGTATGACAATTGTCATTGTCGCATGATGTAGTATGAGTAAGAGGAAACGTGCTATGAGTTTACGTGGTGCGGGAAAAGTGCATGCGTGCAGTCGGCATATAGGCCACCGTAAGATCATCTCCGCTGCGGCCCACTTAACACGGCCTGACGCTCGCTCGAGGTCTGCTTCAATTTTACCAGGCTTGTTTAGAGTCTGATTAACTTCGAAATTCCTGCAGAACAGCTTCCTGGCTCATCCAATAGAAGAGTAAATTTCCAAAAATATACAGAAACTGTACCAACCAATAAAAATTGAAAGTACAGCTTTCACCATTACGCGTATTTAACCCTTTTAGTGCCGGGCGAAGAAGAGGTGCTTATGCGAAGATAACCGGCCGAATTTTACGATTTTACTAGGATTTGGAAAAAAGCTCATAAAAACCAAACGAAAAGCAATATTTACATAATTTAAATAGCAGGGTATTAAGGACAAAATAGAGAATAAAACAGTGATGCTAATTTTTCTATATTCATTGAAAATTACATAATAACAAAGGTATAAGTGATAAAAAAAAAAGAAAAATTGAGTTCTCCGTTTCAAAACGTAATTGCACGTAGGAAAAGTCATCTTTTTATCATAAATTTATATAGACCGTTTATTGCAAAGTATATACTTTAAATTTCCAATATATTTTTTAACAAAATAAGTAATATTGCACAAGAAACATAAAAAATAACTCCAAGGCACATGGGAGGCGCCGGCGGATTATCTCATCCGAAACAAGTCATTGTTATAGGTTATAGGTTGTTATAGGTGTTGTTGTCTCGTTATTTTAATTCTCTCGTAATGAAATTAGACTATTTATAACGTATTATAAATTTATTTTGAGATAGAGATCTCTCGCAAAGCGAATAGTAAAGCGCTACAAGGTGCGGGCCGATATATCGGCTCTGGCACTTTTCGCCAGTGCAGCGAGGGCCGATATATCGGCCTCCGGCACTAAAAGGGTTAAAGCTAACAATAAACGTACACGTAAGATAAAATGCAAGTCGCTAGTATTCCAGTCGTTCAATATTTCGACCTACATTATTATTATTCCTTGCTTCAATTACGCGGAGTCGTCTAAACTAAACTTATTGCACGATATATGCTTTGACGGAAAAGGGAATAAATTCAGTCTGACACGTTAAATTATTACGTCGACGCTCACTTGAGGTCATTCTATAGCCTTGGATTGCGATTTGATGAAAAGCAGATGTTCCAAAGGCTGCAAAGAAGGTATGTAATTACGTTGAGCACCCATTTTTACATTGGTTGGAATCACACGTGTTCACCCACATGTTTTCAAAACAATTGTGGTTTAAGAATGCTCGGATTCGTACTAATGTATGACAATCAGCGCTTGCTGTTTTACTCATGGCGCACAAGCAGCAATCATCCTCGCGTTTTCTTATTACGTTTCCTTCGTTAGAAACGTACATGTATGTGCAAGTATGTAGTTTACGTGCACGTGCTTCCTCATAGCCATGACCCGGCGTAAAAGACCTAGAGTGCAATTCTAAAATAGCGTTACTTACCGCTATTCGCACGCTCGATGGGCTTTCCTTGTTGTTTACGTTTTAATATCATTTTAATTTAGTGCAATTCTAAAATGGCGTTACTTACCGCTATTCGCACGCCCGATGGGCTTTCCTCGTTGTTCAGGTTTTAATATTATTTTAATTTCAACTGACAAGAGATAAATGCATTCCAATGTAAATAATTACAAAACTACAATTTATCTCCTTTTTAATTATAGCTACTTTTTAATGCGAAGGGCTGATCGTGCTCATCATGATATCACGATTATATCAACGTAAGTGCTATGACGATGAGCGTCATAATTAAATACACCACGTTCTGCATTAGAACCCAAAATATAAATAACATTGAAGATGTTATTTTTAACATCTAGTAATCAAGATATAAGACCGAAGATAATCAAATCATGTTTAAAAAGGAATTAATATGAGCGCGTTTCTTTTACCAGTTCATTTAGTAGATACATACTTAAAATAAATTTTACCTCCCTTTAAATCCAAAACAAATAACGTTAAGTAATTTTAAAATTCGAAATCTTTATTCTCTCGAAACTCACTTCGTAATCATTCGGATTTATGGGTTGTGTTACTAAACGCATAAATAATCATTAATACTTGATCGCTTAAAACTGACTCGAACCACATTTAAAGAAACATCACAACCACTATTAATGCTTCACATTAATAAAAACATGCGATGAATCAGATTCGCATTTTTAAATATTCATTTCTCTCACATCATACGACAACTTCTGCAAGGCGACAATTTAAATAGAATCAAAATATTAAAATCTATTTTCTACCTATCTATTTAACCCTTCGAGGCACAGAATTTTAGAAAATAAAAAGTTCCACGTTGCACAGAAGTTTTCTTTCTCTCTAAATTAAATCAAATTGGTTTATTTTTCTTAATAAAGGAATAACATAATATAAAAACATACAAAAATAATAATTCAATTAAGTTCGTTGTTATAGGGTGCGACTCAAATAGTCCCACTGTGCACATTCACGTATTAAAAAGGTGTGACATTTTTAACACCACCGTGCCTCAAAGAGTTAACAGAAGTTTCCACGTTAACGCTTTCCGCGACGTTAATTCCAAAAACATAAAACAACGATTACCTCGAAGT